GGAACTTTGAGAAGTTCCTGGTGGGGCCTGACGGAATACCCATCATGCGCTGGTACCACCGGACCACAATCAGCAATGTCAAGATGGACATCCTGGCCTACATGAGGCGGCAGGCAGCCCTGGGCCTCAGGGGGAAGTAACTGACGCCTGGCCCACTCCTGTCCATCACGCAGGGGCTGGGAGGGACTGTTCAGGAAGGAGCCCACATCCCCAACCCACTAGACACCCACAACAGGCCCCTTGCCCATTACACAAGGTCCCTGCCTGACACAGATGTTTGTATACCATTGTGTCTGTACCACTCGCATGTGGGTATTTGCACACATGCCGACAGGTGTGTGTGTGACAGCGCATGTGTGCACAGGTCTACGTGCGGCCACCTGTGTGACTATCGGAAATGTGCACCATCTGTGTGTCTGCAGCTGTGTAAAGTGATGTGGTTTCTCCAACTCTGTTCCCATGACAACGCACTCACACCTGATCCTAAGGAAAACCAGCGCTAGCTCCAATTGTCCTGCTCTAACCTGGACCTCACCCTTGACAGCAGCATCTCTCTGCCTCCAAACACTATAAGGTCCCCAGCAGTTTCTGGGTCTACCACGCTTAACAGCTCCCTCCTCCTTCCTGAAAGGCCCTCCCAAGCCCCCGCCCCCACCCCTACCCCCAGTTCTGAGATCAGCCAAGGCAGATGTGAGAGCCAGGGCCACATCCCTGTGTCAGGGGTGGCATCTCCATGAGGGAGGGGCCCGAAGCCCTTGTGGGCGGACCTCCCCTGAGCCTGTCTGAGGGGCCGGCCCTTAAGTGCATTCAGGCTGAGGCCCCTGGGCAGGGATGCCATCCTTGCTCCTACAGAGGATGTGCCCTCTCCCCTCACGCTGGCCCACTGGCATCAGACTCACACCCTACCTGCCTAGTAAAGGCCTTTCTGCAACAGCTGAGCCTACTGTGGTGCTTCCTCAACGGGGTGGCCCCAGCCTGGGTGGGGACTGGGGAGGATGGGGTGGGCTGTCAGGGTAGGAGGAGCAGAGAAGAAATAAGGCTGTGCTTAGGGTCCCTGCTTTTTGGCTTTTAGATCCACTTTGCTTTTTGCCCTGTGCATTTGGAGTTTATAAACCGGTTCACATCCACTCGCATTCCTTCCCAGAATTCTCCAAGGAAGTTAGGTCAAGATGAGGTATTCTATTTGACAGAGGAAACGGAGGCTCACAGAAGCATCAAGCTTTGCCCCAGGTCTGCTGAGAGTGGGGGCAGGCCTGGAATGAAAGTCCAGGTCCCCTGACTTACAGCCCAGGGTCTTTCCACTGCTGCTGCTACTCCACCCGTGGGGCGGCTCCGAACAGAGGCCCAGCAGATGCCAGCCAGGAGTAATGGTGGTACTCTCAGGGAATGAGGGGAAAAGGGAAGGAGAGGGCGAGGAAAGCAGCACTCTGATCAGCTGAGAGGGGACACTAGCTAGGGCATAAAAGAACACGTCACAACACACTGATCTTCAACTTGGATTTATGTCCAAGGTTCGTGCAAACAGCTGCCCGGGATGGACAGCCACTCCAATCCAGGCCGCGGGCACCATGAGCCTCGGGCTGCAGGGCAGAGGGCCTGAGCTTCAGCTACAGCCTGGGGCCCTCAGGGGACACGGCTGGTGTGACCTCTCTCCAGGCTATGAAGGCTCTGGCGAGGCTACTGCGGGTGGAGGTGGGAGAGCCCAGCATCAGGACTTGCTGCTGTTCTCCCTGGAGACGAACCCACTCTTCCCGCAGCTCCTCACAGAGGGGTCAGGACAGGCATGGGGCACGTCTTGCTACAGAGCGTGAAGCAAAAGTGAAACACACACGTGAACTGAACGTGGCACCCGGAGGGCTGGAACCACTTCAGGGGAGGGTTTCAAACAAAAGAGGTCTGGGCTGCACCCCACTCTGAAGACTGACGTCTCTGGAGGCTGCAGCGAAGGGTGGCCGGTCAGGCCGGAGGAGGCCTTCTCCACTGGACGGCGGGGCAGTGAGTTTCTCTGTCACCTCCAGAGGAAGAGCCCAAGTGGAAGCCTTCTGGGTGGATCCTCCCAGGCTTATGAACAGTTCTGCCGGGCCGGCGCGAGCTGGCCCCCCACTTCGGCCTCCTGTCCAGCTGTGGCTCTGGCCACACACAGCAGTGGCCTCTATCTTTTCCGTGATCTGAGGACAGCTGGCTCTGCAAGACGAAGATGCAGCCAAACGACACAATCTGGTCTCACTGAGGCCCTTCACGGTCATTTTTTGCTGGGTCTAAATAAACAAAAAATTTAGGACTTCAGGATCACGCAGTAAAGTAATTTTCAAAGTTTCATATGGAAACCAGTAAGTCACAGTGAAACGAACAGCTAGAGAGAGTGAGTGCTCCGAGTGCCAGGCCCTGGGCCACATGCCCAAACTAAATTCCTCATGTCATTCTCACCCAGTGCCACAGAGCAGGCAGGTTGTCACCACCGCAGGGAGGAAGGAACTGGGGAGTACAGAGGTTTTAAAAAGACTTGCCCCAAATCCCAGATCTAGAAAAGAGTGCAGCCAGGACTTGAGCCCAGTCAGCCTGGCTCCAGATCCCAGAAGGGAGCAGTTCTGTGGGAGGGGACAACTCTGCCCATGAGGCCCCCCCATGACCACTCATCAAAGCAGCCTCTAAAGGGCTCCACAGAACCTCTGGGCTCTGGGGAACCATTAGAAAACGCCTGACTGGGGGCCTGCCGATGGTGCAGTGGCAATGCCACAATGGACCATATGGGACAGTCCCAGGTTCGTGACCTCCCAGACAAACCAGGGATGTGCGTGTGCCATGAACCAGGCAGGGTGATGCTGGGGTGGATCACAGTGTGAAGACCTTTTTGGGATGCCCCCCTCTCAAAAGAAGTAAACAAACTTTAAAAAGAAAAAAAAAAAGCACAAAACAACAACTGACTAGTCAACTCTTTCTTTCTTTGTTCAAGTTTTTTGCTCAAGGGCAGATATGGTCATCAGAGAGAGAGAGCCACTGCAAGCAGTGAGAGGGAAAGCGAGAAATCACTCCCTGGGGGGTGCGGGGGTGGCCACATCACAATCCTTTCGGCTCTACTCTTCCGTTGGGATTTTGGGCACACATGCACATGTGCCTGGCATGATTTTTCAAGCTGTTGGGGCTGGGATTTATACCACAGTTGGCCATGTGTGAGTCCAGCACCTTAAATACCCCGCCACCTATTGCCCCTGTCCCCCCTTGGCATCCCCACCTTAAAGGTAAGAAAACTGAGGCTCAGAGGAGTTAAGTACCTTGTCATCCATGAGCACCGAGCACAGTGCCTGGCACTTGGCAATAAACTGGAATGGATGGATGGATGGATGGATGGATGGTTGTAGGCCTTTCCCTTGCCGCTACTCTCTCTCCCCTTTCAACACTGTTTCAGAAAGCTGGACCTCTCTTCCACCAAGGCCAAAAAGGAAATCATTACCTTCCTACCGTAGCAGATAAATTATCTCCCCACCAGGGGTAAGAGCCCGCACTTGGGGATCACACTCACCTGGTTCTGCAGGCCTGGCTGTGGGCGGGTCCATCACTTGGGAGCTCTGATTCCGCATCCCTGCACAGGGTGGGCGCCAGGTGTATTCTGGCTGTGACAAAACTGCTGCTTAGTAATCAATAACCACACTCGAAAAGTCCAGTAGCAGCCCTGCACCAGAACAGTACTAAATACGCACTAATCAAGTTGGAGTCAATCCTCAGAACCCAGGTTGTCATTCCCATTTTTTTTTTTTTTCTATAGGGCATGTACACTTGTTGGAGAGGGACAGAGAGAAAGAGAAACAGAAAGGGAAAGTGAGCAATTGGTCCCAGGGGGGACCATGCCACAATCCCCTATCCTCCACTCTCCTCTCGAGATTCTGGGCATGAACGCACATGTGACTTGGGAGTCATGCCAGACAGGTAGAAGGGTAGGCGTAGGGGTAGGCCCTGCAGAGGTGCTCCAGGTGGAGCTGTGGGTCTAGGACTTGAACTGCAAAGCTGGCCATGTGGGATCCAGTGCCGTAACCTTCACACCACCTGCTGGCCTCTCATTTATTAACTTAGGTTTTTGCCATAGGGCACTTACGCTCACCAGAGAGACATAAAGAGAGAGAAAGAAATCACCCCCCAGGGGGATGGCCATACCATAATCCCTTCTCCACCATTCCCTCAGGATTTTGGGCATGCACACACGCATGTGCCTGGCATAATTTTTTAAGTCACCGGGTCCAGGACTCCCATTGCAGTCGGCCATGTGGGAGTCCCGCACTTTAACCACCATGCTACCTGCTGTCCCTGCCTCCTCCTTGTCACCTCCCCCCAATTAAGTAACTCCATGCACAAAAGTGGCTAAGCTTAGATTTGAACCCAGATCTCCGTATCTCCCAGGCCAAACTCTAAGCACCCTGGCACCCTCCAGTGTAAAGAAGATGTGAATGAAGAATGGCCAAATGGGGGACAGGCTGACAGGGCATAATCACTGTCTGATGGGCAGCTAGGGATGCCCGATGGAGGTCTGTGACAGAGGGACTGGAGACAAAGTATGGTAAAGTAAGAAAAAGTGTGGTAAGTAGGAAAAAGCAAGTAAAATAAGAGAAAAGGAAAGGGGAGGGAAATACGTGAGGTTCTGGAACCTGCTTCCCTGTGAACTGCCCGAACTCTGATGTCTCTGACTTGAGAGTGGGAGGGGGTCCTTCTTCCCACCCTGCGCTCTTACTCAGCCCTCCCTGTCCACACCAGCGACCCTGAATGGCTATAGAATTCTTGCCCCTGGGATGGTAGGCCAGAGCCAGGCCCTGGACACATGCCTACCACCACAAGGATTGCTGAAAATGCACTGTCTGACTCCTCGACCTTTTTCTCTGCACAGACTCACCAGACGGAAGAGGTGCGAGCCGGGGAGTGGGGGTGGGTGTTCCATGGCCATGGGGGGTGGCGGGTAGCCGATCTGGGACCAGTCTTCAAAGCCGTGGTGTGGCACCATGGCTGGCATGGGCGGGTAGGCGTAGGGGTAAGCCCCGCAGAGGTGCTCCGGGTGGGGCTCCATGTGGTAACGCTCTCCCGAGGCCTGCAGGAAAGGCTGTGTCTGGCTCTGGCCTGCAACAGGCTGTGGAGGCCAGGCCCGGGATGCTGTCCTCATCTTCCTCTATGTGAGGATCGTAACTCTCTAAAGGCCAGCATGCAGGCACAGGAGGCTGGGCACGCAGCCACAGGAGGCTGGCATGTGGACGCGGAAGGATGGGTACACATCATGGAGGTGGGACATGGGCCTGGAAATCGGGCATGTGCGTGGAATGGTGACACTCGGACACAGAGGGCTGGGCATGTGGCCAGAAAATGACCAGGGATGACAGCTACATATCCAGAGCAGGTGTTCTGCACGGATTAAGTCCGCCTGCGTTACTTCACTAGTGCATCGGCAGGGAGCGCCCCGCACCTGGGCACACTCTGTCTCCCATCAGACCATGGCTCCCTGAGGAAGGGCAGAAGGGGTAAGCTCTGCCTCCCTCCGCAGCCTCCTCACCTTTGCTTTCCTCTTCTGCTGCTTGAGGGCTTCTCTCGCCTTTTCCTCATCTTTGAGAGCTTTGAGCTGAGAGAAGGGGGAGGGAGAGAAGACTGTCGGCCCAGGAGAATCTTGGCCAGGCCTGTATCCGAGGCCTAAATGGCCCAGAGGGTGACCAGATGGTGCACAGGGCACCCCCAGGGCTGCAGCCAGTCACAGGCAAGTGCCCTGAGGGGAGAGCACAGCCCAGGCTGTTGGCTGCAGGTGAGCCTTGCTCATTGTGGTGGCCTTGCTGTAAAAAGAAAGGGTCACAGGACAGGACTAGCCAGTCACACGGAGACTTGGTAGCAGAGCTGGCAAATGAGCCAGCAAGTGTCCTGACATCCAGCCCCACTGAGGACCTTCTACTCCACCTCCCCCCGAGGCCAATTGTGCCTTCTTTGGCCCAGCTACTCACCTGGGCATTCGACATGGTAACCTGAGCCTGCAGCTTTTCCACCTGCTTCTTCAGCTCTTCCTTCTCCTCATTCATGCGCTCTCGATCGCTGCGCTCTCTCTGGAAGTCCTCCTCGAAGATCTTCACCTGGAGAGGACAGGAGGGGTGGGGGCAGCTCTGAGTGGAGGCTCCAACGTGCACAGGCCCACACCCCCCTGCCTCCTGCTGGCAGGGGGGGTGTCACAGCATCTGAGATGGTTTTGCTCCTTCTCAGGAGTGTGCAATGGGATAGGTGCACTTCCAGCCCCCCAACTGCAATTTCAGAGTAGTTCTGTGTCCCTGTGTTATATATTTGAGCTTCAAGGTGGGATTTTTTTTGAAGAAAGTATCCATGGCTTAAAAAAAAAAGGTTAACACCATCAACCAGTCCAATCCTGTCACTTCAGAGAGAGGTAGAGGCCACTGGAGCTGGTGGCGAGGCTGGAGTTCAGGTCTGCTGGCTCTGAGAGCAAAGGACCCGCGAACTCTCCTGGTCTTCGGAAGCCTTGGCGCAGTGTGGGCGAGGCAGGGCCCTCTGAGCCTGTGGTTTTGCCTCCTTACTTTAGCACCTGCTCATCAGGTGAGATGCTGCCCCATGTTCGAGGTGATTTAGGCTCATCGGAAGCATGGCATTAAATAACAGAACACATGAGACCCATAACCTTCTAGTTTCCTTTCCATCCTAGGAGAGAGTCTCCATTCTGTGCGAGGAGGTCTTTTTTTTGAAATACTTATTTATTTTTAAATTCCATTTGTTATTATCCTTTTTTTAATTTGACAAGACAGAGACAGAGAAAAAGGGAAAGTGATGAAGCAAGCCGCCAGGTCCAGGACTTGAACCACCATCAGCCATGTAGGAATCCAGTGCCTCTAACCACCATGCCACGTGCTGGCCCCTGTGCTAATATAATAGGTCTTTAAAGCTCCTCTAGCCCTTGCCAATCTCCCCTGATGAAAGGCAAGAGGACTCAAGCTCAATGTTGTCACCCGGCAAGAGTACTGGGCTACAGTCTAACAACAATGTTTAAACTGTAAAATGTATGTTTACACTTTTCTTCTATTACGGCAGATGAGAAATACGTTTCCCTACTGATAGCAATGACGTAAAGTTCTCTTTTAAATATTTACATAGAAAAATAAGTCATGACTTTTCTGACGACTGAGTACACTTATTTAACATTCATTTTTTGAATATTAAGTAAATACTAGCACAGGTGGGGCACAGAGATGGTGGACTCATCAAGGTGAGAGAGGAGTGAGTAAGCTGGGGATACCCCGCTGGGAAGGAGAAACCTACAGCAGGCAGGGGTCCTGGCCGGTGGTCAGGCGCCACGTGATCCCAGGGCCCTCGGGAAGCCCCAGCTCCTGCTGACCTGTTCCCCTGGGGCTCACCTGCTGTTTCAGCAGCTCATTCTGCGTGAGCAGCTCCTGCTTCCTGAGGCCACCAGCTCCTTCTGGGCTCCCGAACGCTGCTGCTGGCGATGACGGGGAAGCCTGGATGCTCAGTGCTTCCTCCAGGGCCTGAGATCAGGGACAGAGGAGATAGGACCATCAGCAGGGACCCCTGGAAGTCAGGCCCCTTTAGAGGGTCATCCTCAGTGACCTTCGTCAGAACAACAGTCATAATGACACCACCAGCAGTACAACTCAGTAAACGCTAAAGAGCTATAACACCCTCACAAATAATTTACCTGATCCTCGGACAAAGAGATCTGTGACAGATGTAAAACAGGGGTTGAGAGACCTGAAGTGACTTGTCCAGGGTCACACAGCTAGTCAGCAGCAGAGCTGAGATTTGAACCTGGCATGTGCTCCTTGTTTTTTTTTTTTTTCTCCTTTTCTTTTTTTGGAGAGGTTTTTGCTATAGGGCGCCAGCCAGACAGAGAGAGACAGAGAGACAGAAAGCGAGAAATCACCCCCCAGGGGGGATGGTCACGCCACAATCCCTTCTCCTCCATTCTCCTCTCCGGATCTTGGGCACGCCTGCACACGCGTTGGGCACGCCTGCACACGCTCCCGGCGTGAGTTTAAGCCACCGGGTCCGGGACTCGAACTGTGGTCTACTACGTGGGAGTCCAGGGACATAGCCATTACGCTAACTGCTGGTCCCGTACTCCTTGTTTATTTGTCTATCTATCATCCATCTATCTACCTGTCTTCTTTCTATCTACCTACCTACCTATCAATCTATCATATGTCAATCTATCATCTATCTATTTAATGAGAGAGAGAGTGCAGGGGGAAATACTAAGATTTTTGATGGCCTAATGGTCCTCCTACCCAGCTGGGTCTACAGATGCAGGCGCCCAGGCCCGGCCTGCATAGGCTGGGCTGGAAAGCAAACCTAGGCCTCCCATCAGGTCTTAGCCACAGCTCAGTGACACTCTCCCGTGTGCACCAGTGTGGCTGGGCCCAGCATGTGCTGTTACCTAGCAGTCTAAATTGGGGCCCTCTT